ACATACATACATACATACATACATACATACATACATACATACATACAGAATTGACTTGACAGCGAAGATGTTTGTTGATCATCATATTTCTGCATTGACATTGAGTGATGGTCGAACTGATCAATTTTTATCAACATTAAAATAAAATATTAACTGTAGATATGTAAGTTGAGAGGACTTGACAATCTTATGTATTTTCTGAAAACCATTACAAGTTTTAAACAGCCTTGAAAATATTTTATAATTTAAAAAAAATATATAGTAACTGTGTCTAATCTTTGTTATAACTTGCTTTTTGGACAACTGTACGTACATATTCTCGTTGTATCTCGGTGCAATGCCAATAAAGTTTTATTCTGATTCTGATTCTTTTTTTTATAGCCTGAAGGTGTGCTGGTTCAGTCTGCTCAGACCGTAACTCTATTTTCAACTAGAAAAGGTGTCAGTATGTTTACACACCAACTGTTTTGTTATTTTTTTTTAGTAATGAGTTTTGGGATACCTAATGAGTGACTCATCATCCTTTTACCCCTTTAGATGGCAAACAAGAGGTAACTATAAGCAGTAATATTTCCATGACTGATTTGGTGCCAAATTCACCAACTAACACACAGGTGTTTGTGACAGGTGAGAAATGCTGTTAAATCTGCAACACATATGTGATGCATGGACAATAAACTCTGCTTTGGTTTTGTTATTGAAAATTTGACTGATGAAATCTTTGTGCGCTTAATGACGGTTCTTCATTTTGACCAGTTTGTCCTTTGTGTGTCTACTTGCAGGAAGAGAACAAGTTTCCGGATTGGTGGAAAACGCCATCAGTGGAAATTCGATGGGTACACTGATTCAAGCACCTGGAGGCTGTGGAGAGCAGAACATGATCGGCATGACTTTGCCTCTCATTGCAACCATATATTTGGACAAAACCAACCAGTGGGAAACTGTAGGCTTCCGTAGACGCACTGAAGCCTTAGAGCACATAAAAACTGGTATTCTCATACAAATAGAAACAGAAATGGAGCTCATTTTAAGGAATTTTCCTTACAATCTATCTTTTAGTGGGAACGACGTGGTTTTACTAAAAAGTTTGTGTTGTTTATGTTTAGGCTACGGTCATCAGTTGCAGTACAGAAAGGGTGATGGGTCTTTTGCAGTGTGGAGTCATCTCCCAAGTAGCAGCTGGTAACTAACTGAAACATTCACTTAATTATAACCAGTTTAACTTTTATACATCAACAGCATATTTTAATAGAAATTAATAAAACTTAACTGCTACACCATCTCTTCTCGTCCTCCAGGTTGACAGCATATGTTGCCAAAGTGTTTGCTATTGCTAACAGCTTGGTGGCAGTGCAAAATGATCACATCTGTGGTGCTGTGACGTTTCTGATTCTCAATGCTCAGCAGCCTGATGGCATGTTTAGAGAAGTGAGAAATGTAGATCATGGAGAGATGATTGTGAGTGCACCAATATATCAATTTTTATCTTTCTCAAAGAGGGGGGAAAAAAATCTAATACAATCGGATGATGATCTGTGTTAAATAAAATGTTATTTTTTTGACTGTGATAATCATGTTTTGTTTTTCTCCTGACATGTTGTGTGTCCATGTGTAGGGTGATGTGCGTGGCAAGGATTCAGATGCGTCCATGACGGCCTTTTGCCTCATCGCTATGCAGGAGTCACGAACAATATGTGCTGAATCTGTTAGTGTGAGTACTTAACTGCATCCGTTTCTTTTTTCCTTCTCTCATCTTTTTTTAAAAATTTTTTTACATATAGTGTGAATTTGAATAACATAAAAATGAAAAGCCCAAACAAAACAACAAAGTCTGAACAAAGTACGTCCAAATGAATAGCAAATTAAGAGGGTGAGGCCCAACACATGCCAAGCACGTATAGCTCCATTAGCATGAATGAAATCTTGTGTTGCCCTGTTTGGGCTGTCAAATTTTTCCTCACTTAGAAGAATTCTGTATATTCCTCTTGAGTTTACGGTGACGGTGCGGTTGTAGATTTCACCAAAATGTGAAACAATAAATTTAAATGTTGTTTGACAGGAATTTTATTTTATTTTCAGATGTAAGCAATAGTGCAAGATCATGGTTTAAAGCTGTGGCATTAACTTTAAGTGTCTACAGTTTTATGGTTTAAATACAGGTGCAGGAGCAGCACAGTGGCACAAGTGGTAGAGCTGCTGCCTCTCAGCGAGCAGGTTACCCTGTTTCAAATCCTGGTCCGGGGCCCTTTCTGAGTGGAGCTTGCATGTTCTCTCCGTGCATGCGTGGCTTTTCTACGGGTACTCCAGTTTCCTCCCACAGACCAAAAACATGCATGTTAGGCTGATTGGTAACTCTAAATTGTCCCTAGGTGTGAGTGAGAAAGTGAATGGTTGTTTGTCTCTATGTGTCCTTGTGATGGACTTGTGACCTGTCCAGGGTGTCCCCCCGCCTCTTGCACAGTGATGGATGGACATGGGCACCAGTGACCCCGGCGACCCAAAATGGAAAAAGCATGTAAAGATAATGGATGGATGTAAATACAAGTGCAGCTCAGAAAATTAGAATAACATGAAATGTTCCTTTTTTTCAGTCCTTTCAGAAACAGAAACTCAGGTTATATAGACATATAGGCATGGAGGTGATCCACTTGTGGCACAGCTGAGGTGTAATGGACGCTGGGGTTGCTTTGATAGCATCTTTCAGGTCATGAAAGATGCTTCTGGTCGACTCAGGTCATGCTTCAGGTCAGTTGATTCAGGTTGACTCCTACCAAGCTGCCACAGCCGAAGAGGTTGACGGGGGAGAGGACAGCCCCCCAGAAACCATCTTATCACCAACAAACTGGCTGGTCCACTATAAGAGTGTACTGCTTAGTGAGGAAAACAGTTTGTTTGTGACTTCTCAGACTGATGAAGCCCTTTGGATGGAGGGTGAAACGTCTCTCAACAAAAAAAGAAAGAAACTGTCCAGATGACCTGACTGGACATTGTTGGGCTTAAAGGTATAGTTTTGTCAAATGATTGGGGTGGCCAAAGATTGAGCTATCATGGTCAGGACTACTATTGGCCACACCCTGGCTCCACCATTGTGCCTGGTGGTGGAAAAAATTGCTCCCTCTTCTCACCAGGATACGTCACTCTGCGCCACCTCAGACAAAAAAAACATAAATAAATAAACTACCTCTGTTCTTATACACAGTGTAACTTCTACCCACTTTAATATATTGCACCAAAAACGTGGTTTACTTGAATTCCTTGTTCAATTGTAGTCAAGAAAAACACTCACTCATTCAAATCCCTCAGTGATGGGGGGGATATTGATGTTCTATTTGTTTTACAATATAATTAGGACCACAGCTTTGTTGGGCAAATTATGTTGAATTGTGTGTAAAAAAAAAAAAAAAAACAAGTTCAGCCCAAAAAATACATTAAAATTTCAACATTTTAACACTACTGAAGAGTGATAAATGGATTCAAGTTTTTTATCTTCACACTGGTGACACCTGCTCAGTAACCCATATTATATTTTCTATTTGTTCAGAGTCTTCCAGCCTGTATTGATAAATCAGTCAGGTACCTGGAGAAGCGTCTGCCCTCTCTCATCAATCCCTATGCTGTTGCCATAACATCCTACGCCCTGGCCAATCAAAACAAGCTGAACAAGGAAATGCTACTAAGATTTGCATCTCCAGGTATTTTAATTACACATTCAGAAACTTTATTCAAGGTTCAAGGTTCTTTATTATCTGTCTGTTAAGCTCTCAGTCAGTAGATCAGTTTAAGTCCAGACTGAAAACACATCTATTCTCCCTGGCCTTCACTCCAATTAGTACCTGACTGACTCGAGTTTTTTGGGAAATTGCAGCAAATATGCTATAGCTGTCTTGGTTTTTATTAGAACTACTGTTTTATTGATATTTTACTGTAAATTTTATTATACTTATATTTTTTTGTCAGATTACATGTCCTCCAGGCAAATTCAGATAAGGTTGCCTGCAAGGCCAGCCAAGGGAGCCAAATTCAGATAAACACACAATTGTTTTGGGGACAGGCAGAACATTAATGACATCTACCTTGAGTCTGTGTTGGTCCACTTGGTTCCGAAATGTCCAAATTACATGGTCACAACAATGGTCCATGCCTGAGAATAATCCCCAAGATCTTATCCATTCTGCCAAAAGCATTAGAGTCTGGGTGCTCAAGGCACGAACCAAGCCATCATAAAGGCAAGCAGCCTGATCGGGTCCAAATTTGCTGCCGACAACTTCCTTGGTTGTTGATGAACCAGAAACCAGTTATCATAAATCCAATTATAAATTTGTCCTTAAAATCCACAAATGGCAGTAGAGACAGACACGTCATCAAGTCTTCCAAGTCAATGAGATATCCAGCTGTGTGCGTGCCAACAGGGCAAATCGGCACGCCTCGTCTTCTCTTTGAAGAAATGTTATCAATTGCGTTGAGGGACCAAGTGACCAAATCCATGTCCATAATTATGGTTTGGAAGATTTGTAGCAGAGAGGCTCAGAAGCAGTTTCACAGACAAGGCAGAGAAGCAAAGCGGAGAGGGAGAGGAGGGGAAAAGCGTCTTACCTCAGCAAGAGCAAGTGACATCTTAGGCTGATTGGTAACTCTAAATTGTTCCTAGGTGTGAGTGAGAGAGTGAATGGTTGATTGACTTGTTTGTCTCTATGTGTCTCTGTGATGGACTGGAGACTTGTCCAGGGTGTCTCTTGCACAGTGACTGCTGCATATGGGCACCAGTGACGCCCGTGACCCAAAAAGGAAGAAACGGGTAAAGATGATCCAAGGATTAAAGGTCCTTTATTTGTCGTACACACCACATGTGGTACATGTGGGTGGAACAAAATTGTGTACACAGGGTCCCAGTTACATCCAACAAAAGTATGAAATGTAAAAGAAAAATGGTAATAAGGTCTAAGATTTGAACTAAGAAAAACGATAATAAAAATACACTAAGCACTAGCAGCATAAAAATATTAAGCTGAACAGCAGCACAAACATGAGTCTGTGTGAGCAAATGAGCATGCATGAACAGAGCAACATGAAACAGATCAGCAGCAACATGATGTGATTTTTTTCACAGTGATTATTCTGGTTAGAGATTCATGAGTCTAACAGCTTCAGGGTAGAAGCTGTTTCTCAGTCTAGTGGTTCTACACTTAATGCTCCTTAACCTCCTGCCTGAGAGGAGCGGGGCAAAAAGTGTGTGTGCAGAGTGAGTGGGGTCCTTCATGATGCAGGTGGCCCTCTTCCTGCATCTAGAGGTGTAGATGTCTGTGATGGTGGGGAGGCTGACTCCAACAGACTTCTGTGCAGCCTTCACCACTCTCTGCAAAGTGTTTCTTTCTTCAGCTGTGCAGCCTCCATGCCACAGTGGATGGATGGATGGATGGATGGATGGATGGATGGATGGATGGATGGATGGATGGAGAGA